AATATGCCAATCTTCCCGCGCTCGAGGGTTAAGTCGCACTAAGGGTGTTTGTCATCGAGCGTAAGAATGCCAGAGGCGTCACGTACTTGTAAAAGAGGATTGGTTTGTTGTTATCCTCGAGGGGAATTCGAAACTCCTCGTCTTCACCGTTGTCGCGCATCTTCACCACACTTTCTACTGGAGCATGAACGACGGATCGTTGTACGATACCATACCGTGCCGGCGATTGCTGTGGTGGTGGTGCTGGCGGCTGCTGTACTTCTGGTGGAGACGGAACCTGAAACGGAGCCACTATAGGGAATCAACAAAGAACCGGGGATGGTGCATCATCAGGTTGAGATACAACGGATTGTGAATTCCATTTTGGAATCATAGAGGCAGGGACATGGCTGTCTGACTCGGGAGTGCTCACCACACCTACTATTCCGGGTGAAACGAGTGATTGGCTTACCCAGAATCGAGAAGCCATGGTTTAGAAAGTTGAAAGCCTTGCCCACTTTCTCATTTCCAGCTGGATATAAGAGAGTTATATTGACCCCTTTTCCTCACTGCGTGGAAAACTACACACAGCAAAAAGGCGATTAATAACTATACAACGGTAGCTAGAGCTACTGGCTTGAAAAGAAAACGAGTTTATTATGCACATATCTTTCCCGGATGCCTCAGGAAGCGACTGACGCGACTTTCAAGAACGCGACATGCTGCGATAGGACTTACCCGCAGGTTGCTTTCGATGCTTCGCCTTCGGAGCCGTCGTAGTCTCCGTTGCTCTTTCTCATCATCGTTTTCGTCCGGTGGGGCATTCACTCGAGCAGCGATTTTCGTTGTTGTCACCCCCGGCGAAATCCGCAATCCTGTCGACGTACTGTTTCGCATTTCTGAAATCAGAGCGCTCCGCTAACCAGCTTCAGACAGTTCGCAACGAATAAGTAAAAACTGAAAGCATTAAAAAGGAGCATACTGTAGCTGGTGTCCCGATCCTGATCGGCAACGAGCCGATTAGTCTCATCTACAGAAACGCCTCGACTCATTCGACTTCCGCAGCCGAGATTGTTGAAGGACTGAAATACAACAGTTTTCAAACCATAACACGAGTCAGAGTTATTCCAGGCTGGAAATCATAAATCACACTTGAGTGGAGCCAAACGAGGTCGCTAATCCGGCACAACTCCAGGATTTAATTATGCTCGCCTCACTGCTATGAAGAACGAGAACACAGAGAATTCTAGGAATCAAATGAACACCTCTCGGGACTCAATGGCTCTGTTGACTAGGATTCAAGTCTATCGTGCTGATCGTGGGTAAGGGTGGGTTGAGAGTCCCGTGCGGCTGTTAGGTGACAAGCTCTCTAGGGAATGCTCCAAAGTTCGGCTACGGTCGGCTCACCGATACCTTTGCTTAAAAGGAGTGCAGAGTATTACATAGCATTTACATAGAATTATTTTGGACATGTGCTTTTTGAAGGTTCGAATTGTGATTTTCTTAGGTGAACTTCCGGCATTTATACATTCGTCAGACTTCAAGATTACAGTAGTTGCATGCAAGCAGCCAATTATCAGTTACAACACAAAGCACGTCAGATCGAACCAGAAATATTGGTGAGAGTAGGGTCTGTCTCAGGGAAACTCTAAGTGGAAATGCGACATCGTTATTACCCTAACTGCGATTTGGATTTTACCATTCGCACTGATTTCTGGCTTCACGCGATATACTGTATTTCCCGGAAAGTCATGTTTTTCCTTCCCGGAAACCGTACCAAACAGCTATGAAAAAACTAGCATCGAAAGCAGGAGCATTCTCCTTATACCCAACCATCAGCATACAGTAGCTGGAAAAATTGCCTATAAATGCGTGCATGCAACGGGATCGTCCAGCGCCCTTCTGTGCTGGTCCAGCGAATTTTCAAGGGTCTTCCGCCTTTTCCTAGGTTTTTTTCTCCAAATGCATTGAATCAAACTGACGATGCCTTGGAGTTTGAACATTCTTGAGATTCACAGTATCGATGAGTACCGATGTTCAGGGATCACACTGCTTCCAAAGTTTCGGTTAAAATCCTCCTTAGCAGTTGACTGTTGCTTTGACAACTTGTTACGCTACATAGCGCAATCAAGACGGTTTTTCTGGAAAACGGAGCCAAATCTAGAAGTGTCCGAAAATTTAAAGGACAGCCCACAGAATCCGTTCTTGTTCGTAGGAAGAGCACCCTAATCCTTATAGATGACGAACCCACTCTCGAAAGGGAAGCACATTTGCATATCAGCGCCTTCCAGGACCGGTGATCGATTTGAGTGGGGAAGCTATTCCTTGTGAGAACAAACACGGAACAACATATCAAGGTTTTTGAAAGATTCATATAATAGAACAAATAGCGGTAAAATGGACGTACATTGATAAGACCCTTGAAGTGAGAGATGATGCTGGACGATTGTGGCGTTCCACAACTCTGCGTTCGATGCATCGGCGGATGCGGTTTGTCCACTCGTGAAACATGACGGCCTTGAACGCCAAAATTAATCCAAATGTCCCACTGAATTTCGCCGCATACTCCTTAGGCAAACATTGCTTAATTTTCACCTGTGACGGGGGAGAAATGATTGATGGATCGGGTCTCTTCTTGAGGGAGACGGTTCACAGCTGTGATTTCCGGTGTTCGTGAGGATGCTTGCAGATTCGGACGATCTGAAAGGTAAGATTTTACAGTAATGGCACACGATTACTGTAACTTCTGATAAGAAAGTAATCGGTAACGGCAAGGAACTCACTTGAGACTAGCAGAGCTTCCGGTTCTTTGATATCAATGCCGTCATATCCGCCCTCGCAAGAAGCATCGAACGACGCTGAAAATCTCAGTTTCGTTAGTTCCTTTTCAGAATGTGTCCACCAAAAGCCACGGTTCTTTGTCATTCATGCTTTTTCAAACTTGAAACTGCAAAAGAGTTCCCAGTGGACAAGAGATTAACAGATGTATGCGGTAGCCAGCGAACAGACGCGGACAAAAAGGGCCAATTGATCAGCGCCTGCTGTAAGTCTTCGTCGATTGTCTCAGGCATGAAAAAGATGGCAATGCTGCATGGAATTGGGGCTGTTCATCTATCACTCACTTCTTTCGAAGGGGAGAATGAAGAGGAAAAGGGGGATGAACATTACAAAACTGGCCCCGCACAAAATTGAAACGCAGAAGTGGTTCAACAACAAAATGAAGTAAAATCAGTAGGATTGATGTCCGAGAGGAAAAGAAACGAACATAAGAATAGAGCTAAACCAAATGAGGAGAAATCATTGTTATGCTTGCATATGGCTAGTATTTATCCCAACCTATTCCCGTTCTATTAATTTTCTCATGTAAGAATATCGATGTGCCTCCTTTTTGCGTCTTTTTCGCGTCTTCAAAATTCCAAACTAATCCAAAAAATGATTAATTCGAGAAATTACACTAGTTGCCATACAGAGAATTCACAAGGGTCAAATCTTTCAGCAATGAAAAAAAACTTGCTGGACGATCCCAATCAAAGGAAACTTCGAGAGGGGTCCTCTGGACAGGCACTCTTGAGCTGCATGCAATGAAAATTCGAAGGCGAGTAAGCGGTGAAGAAGAACGGAAATCTTTCCCGAACTGTTCTATTCGGACATATTTATTCCGCTTCACTCACAGAGCTGTGAAATTCCGAGCTCGGGAACATAGCACAGTTGCCTAAGCCGACTGGCAACCCCCAAATTCATGGAATCACCGTGAAAGGTATTCATCATAGATGAAATGAGCATTGTTCGCGCAAACCTTCCTCACTTCCTTCATTGGTCTTCCCTTCCTAACTTGTTCTTTCTTTTTTTTCTGTTTGTAACCAAAAAATGCAAGGCCGCTTTCAAAATTGTTTTTCAAACCCCATAAGACTTTTACCAGCTACGTAACCGATTCACCTTGCCACTTGCTTGGAATTGTCGCAGCTGTTCGCTGGTTATTTGCAGACAACTCGTCCGCAATGGCGCCTTCAGTTGATGCTGTCGGGACCTTCTTCCGCTTGTTCAGGGAAATCTGCAAACAACCTTCGTCACACCAGCCTTTTCAATACTAGACATGTAGGATTACCGTAAGGGATTTATTGCTCTTGGTCCTATCTCCAGGGAAAGGTAATGATTTGTTGACCAGAGGTATTGTTTCGGCCAATTGAGGACGAAGTATGGAGAATGGTAGATTGAAATTCGCCTATAATCGTGAAATGGCCAAGTGATTGATGGTTTTTGGACTCAGACTCACCTCCACATCATTCGCGTCATCTCCCTGGTGGTCTACATCACATGCTGCCAGTCGAGCATTCACTGCATCAATTACGTCCATGTTTACCATGCCGTACTTGGGCCTGAAAGGATTTGTTCCTCGATCTGTCCATCAGACAAAGTCAACATCTTGGAAGAAAAATGACACACGAGAAATAGCCTCTAGGTTTCTTAGCAGGGAACTCAAGGATTTAGGGACCTTAAAAAGATAGGGGGGAGGGGCTGAGCTGAAT